TCTTTTATGTAATAAAATTAAAATATCGTAATTATGATTAAGACAAATGATTTATTAAGTTGTATGAACATAATAACGATGTTTTATTGCTTGTTAGCGTTAATTAAATAAAGAAATGAAACAAATGTATCGGTATAGTATTGCGTTTATGTGGACTGAGGAGAGGCGATGGTAGCAATTACGTTGTCGTACCGTGCCGGTTGGGTTTTGGCTGTCAATTTGAATGTATAGGCTCTAATAAATCAGGGTTGTCATTAGGTGAGCACTAGTGAACAGTGGCAGGTAGTCGGCGGCCGCGTGTAACGAGACACATATCGGAGCGTATCCTTCCAATTAGTGCGGGTGCGGCGCGGACCGGCTACGTCGGCGGTGTCGAGGCGCGCGGGTCTCGCGCGGGTGGCGCGCCCGTTGGTCACTGGGCGCCCGCTACCGCCTCCGCGCTCGCGTGCTCCCGTTACGCTCCCGCCTCGTTAGGGGAATTGTTTGTTCGAGTATGTAAAAATGTGTTTATTTGCACGTACGCTCCAGGGTAAAAAATATATGAAAAGACCCTTTTAAGACTTTTAATGATTTCCCGGCAAAGGGAAATTGGGTTAGTTATTTTCCCCGGGGTTGCCCCTCGTTAAGTTTTAATGGGGTAGCTAGCTACGACGTAATCAAACGTACTTATTTAAGTTAACGACGTTTGCCAGGTCTGTGTACTTTGTTGTCAATAGAAGTTATTTGAAGGAGTATATTTACTTACTTTGTCGTAGCTAACAACCTATTCAAATACTATAGGCGGAGATAATGGTTGAACTATGTCCGCTTGTTAAAAAATCTCATATTCATAGTAGTTAGTTACTCACCTACGTTTTCTTTCTCAGAAGTGTAGCTATAAGATAGTCGCAGTAGGCACTTAACGAGTTATAAACAAGGTCTTCCGGCGCACTCCAGGACCTAGGCGGATATCCATATAGGTATAACGCCTAATTAATTTCTAGTAAAATGTCGACGTTGCTTGTTTTTGCAGGAACTCGGCTCATTAGAGCGACGAGGCATGTTGATTACATTTTGCAGCGCTTATTAGCGCAAACTCTCATTAGGGGCCACTATTGTTGTAATTAAACAAGAAACAACAACGGTATATACTGTTTTACGCCGCTTGAACAGAACTCGACTTTATCGCTATGCAATAACGGTCACGGAGTATCAGTTTGCGACTGACGATTATATTGTGCGAATTTAATTAACAACTGAATAGTTACACAGTAGAGGTAGAGAGCAAAGGGGAGTTCTTGTTGCGTCTGACATGATTCCATTGTTAGCGTCTGTGCAAAAAAGTGGAGGTTTGTTTAGAAGTGGTTTATGCAATTACGAGGAGGTACTCGGTTCCGGCGCCGCTAGGTATGTTGGCGTCGGTGTCATCGGCGGCGGCGGCGGCGGCGGGAGTTTAATTGGACAACAGAGGAGCGGTGGGAGGGAGCTGCGGCGGCGGGGTGCTGGGTGCTCCGCCACCTCCTAACACTTCTAATTGGCTCGCCAACACTAACAGGAGCTTTCCTCTAAAATGTATACTCATCGTCATTACTTATAATAGGCTCTGACTCCTCGCGAACACCTGCTGCTATTTCCAATTCCTTTACATAAAAGCTTGTTAGGAAAAATCTTATATTACAAGCTAATGTATCTACTATATAGGTATTTAGTATTTTTTATTTACCTATTGGAGTATTTTAGTATGCTGTTAATAAATAAATAATTTTTATATTATTTATCTAACTATCTACGTGATCGTATCGGAATTAATACCTATAAAGACAAAGTAATAATAGAAAAAACATAAATTTAAGATTTTTTACAGAAAATAAATATAATGACTGTAATTGTGATAAAATTAGCATAGATATGGGACTAATATAGGATTTAGAATAAGAATATTTATAAAAGATGAATTTTCGTAAATATTTTTCTATTTCCCTTTTATAATATTATAATTACAAAGTATACTTATTATCTATTATGTAAATTCAGTAAGCATTAGTTTTGACTCTATGATAGCGAATCAGTTAGGATTTATTTTTTTTACATAGATTATTTGCTAGTGTTTTTGATTATACGATACGTTAATTAATGTTACCTATTACTTAAAATTGCTGTTCGTATTCATTAAGAGGGTTTAAAAATATTTTATTTTCTCCTAGAAATAATTGTAATACAACTAAAATATGGAAAAATTAATTCAAATTCTCGAAAAAAAGAACAACTTGTATTTATATAAACGCACTTCGTAATACTTGGGTTATGCATATTGTATTGTGTAGTGATGTTGGTATAGATACAAAATATTGTTTCGAGAATCTTATTTTTTTTAATTTTTGGTAAATAATTTATTTTCTAAGAAAGATAAATTTTTGAGATCGTTTTAATGAATACTAATGTTAAGGAATACAGGTTACGTTAATTAACATACTGTATAGACAGTAAATTCATAATTAAATAGAACTAGAGCAATTTAGCAAACTTCGCTCAAATTGTAATAAATAGACAGTTTTGTTATTTGCGTATTTATTACGAAACCGGTTGATTAGGTAAATATAGTAGCATCGCACGATATGACCTTTATTTATCCAAATCTACAGATCGATGGGGTACATAGTTATAAGCACTTCGATGACTGTTAATATTATCGTAATAAAATGAACGCACCCCTTTAATTGTGTTGTTCAAAGATATTTAAGTTTAATAATAAAACAAGGGTTAACGAACATAAATCAGAGTTATCAATGTTTGCTTATTTTATGGTCGATTCATTAGACTGTAATTGGGAATATTGATAATTAGACCAATTAAGAATAGGTATGTAAATAATAAATAATAAATGTAACATATAATAAATTATATAATAATATAAGAAAAAATATAACTTATGTTCGAGTCGGTTTATGATTTGAATGGCCCGTTGTATAGATGATTGGCATCTCACGTTCGCCTCGCGCCGTGTGCGTCAATGCTACGCCAATATTATTAAGTCTATAAACAGAAGTGGTCTACCCGCTTGTTAAGATAACAATCCCTAATTAAAATTGTAGCTTATGTCTATATCAGCACAATAACTTTATGTCAACAGTGTTAGGTAATAGCAACCGAGATTTGGTAGATAAGATAAATACCTATTAGTTCATTCTAATAAGCTTCCTCCGTCCCTCTGTCTAGGGACAAAGTACCCACAATTTCGTTAGCGATATTGGTAACTAGTTGTTAATAGAAATGTGCTTACTTACCTAGGGAGCAATAGCTTAGGATATTTACTCTTTTGCATAGCAATAAATACCTGAAAAGTAAATATAAAAGAACATATAGAATCTTAAATACTTAAGTGTGAATTAGAAGATTAGGATTAAGAAATTACTCGTAATTTTATTTCAGTCATTAACTGTTTATAACTGAACAAAAGCCTTCCCCATAAAGGAGTTGTGGCAGTAGTTGCCACGCTTGGCAGGCGGGATGGCAACCGCAGGCAGGTGTTTAGAGATGCTTTAAGAGTTAAGGAACTCGTAACTTATACTTGTTTTATCATTACAATATTAGCAGAATCTCACAGACATTCGTTCGTGTAGAATGTATGTAGAGAATAAGTGAGAATGTATTTAGAATTCTTCTACATTTCTCAAGATCATAACTCACTGAATAATATAGATATAACCGAAAACCAGACAGAATAAAAAAAACTAGAACCAGTCAAAACGTAAACCTAATAGATTTTTGCACTAATCGTTATTAAGTTGTTCCACAAAAAAAAAAAAACCATTTTAATTGTGGCAAAAGCAGTTATTTTGATTTAAAAACTAAACTTCTTTTTATAAAATCTACGATTCTGATAAAATCTTTACACACTTTCAGCTAAAAAAAGTATTTTTTTAAATTGGATTACAACTGACAGAGTTATGAAGTTACAAACATCATCCTTCTTTTTGAAGTCGGTTAAAAATATATTTGTAAAGGAGTAGGGAAAGAATGAGAATTTAGTAGTTTGTTCTTACTCCCCCTTGAGAGGCAAGTAGAGCAAGAATTGCTTATGACAGGTCATTCTATCTTTCGGTAGGGAGCCCTCAGTATCAGTATAGGGTGGAGGGGGAGGATCGATGTAGAGTGTACTAGGTACTTATAATATCAGTGATATTATGTAAACTATTTATAGTTTGACAGTGTATAGTTATACTCGTATATAGTATAACTTTCATGATATACAATGTAGACAAACGTGTGACAAGGAACTATATTCTTTAATAGCAGTTAAAGCGACGTGAATCTGAAAACTTGCTGAGCGCTTATTTGCTTGCGGATTGTTTTAAATTTCTTATTATCTCACTTATTGATTTAATGATAAATATGATATATGTTACATACCGTATTTGTGTACATTGCACTTACATTATTTTATGTGACAGTTCATAATATATTGTAATACATAATTTGCCTCTCCTTTTAACAAAATCTGATATTAAGTATGTTATATATATATCAAAATTTATTAATAAGAAACAATATTGGACCTATAATGTATTTCATATTACACATCAGACTTTATTAATAGGGACAGGCGAATGGCTTCTATATCTATATTTAATTACGATTAAACATAACGTACTTCGACGTACTTTATTCTATATAATTAGTCGTAATCCCTAATTTTACTAACAAATAATGCAGATTTATTTCAAACATAGGTATTTAACTGTTAACAGTTTCATAAGTAGTACACATTATATTTTGATGTAATAACTACCGGTTTAACTTACGTGTAATTTGGTCGAGAAAGATAGACTAATTTCGTGACCATCCGAACCGAGGCACACGCAGTCAGGCTCATGCAGGCTCGTGCCCGCGTCGCAGCCGTTCAAGACTAAGAATCTCGGATAGTCCCGAAACTAGTCGACCGTAAGCTAAACCGGTAGTTATTATATTAAATATATGTTTAATTATATAAAACATATGAATAGTGTATTTTTCTATTTCAGATAAATTGATATACCTAATAGCAGTATCGTCTTCGCAATATAATATGTGAGTATTAAAAAATGAGATCACTTAATAGATATTTATTACGCTATCTATCCTTTATAATAATTGTTACTTGGTATACTCAGAAACTTTACCAAATGACGAAATCTATTACAGGATTATTATCCTATTTGTCAATTAAATATTTAATAGCATATACGCATAATATAACACAAGGTATCCCGTGTTTATGAAGACTCTATAGGTGACGCAACGGTTGCAACTTTCCATCAAGATGGGTCGTTAAATTGTTTGCGATTCCAAGTTGCATAAAATTTTATAGTTATAATCAATAACTGTTAAGTCAGATAATATTACTACCTAATAAATTATTTAAAATGAGTTTATGTTTAGCTTTAAGTGTACGTGTTTGTTTATTTGTTATCTCTTGGCGCCATACACATGTATGGTAGTATTTGTAATGGCTGCATTTTGTCTTGGTTACGTAGACGAATTTGTGGCTGCTTTATAAATCTAGAGCTAATATTTAAGATCTATTGTTTTGAAACAGAAAAACCATATTAATTGGATGTAAAAAAAAAAAAAACTCTATTTATTTTCTTTATAGGCTTTGACAATCATAGACAATATTTTAAGCTTAAAAATATTTTGTACAGTCAGTAAAAATACCGAGACCGACAGCTCCGTACGACTGATATTATTATAGAAAGAATAGCTGTAATAAATGTCATGGTCGCATGTTGAAGGCAAACACTGTACAACGAGGGGTGTCTCGGCGTGGTCGCTGCTTTTTGGTGATAGCACTGTCATTACTCCTATCAGACTACTCGATATTATTGTGGGCGCATATCGAACTAGGGTTAGCATGCCGAAGGGGCTGCCCACAGCTAAGCTACAGCTCTCAACGAGTTATGAATAACATTAAAATAGGTATTATTTTCCGTATTGTTTAAAGTGAGTAACAATACCTATTTATGCAAAATATTAATTACGAGTATCTAAATTAAGTATACGAATAAGTATAACAATGTGGAACATAAATAAATTTCAGCAAAGTACGCCCCGTACTCGTAGAATACTCGGCTTCGTGTCGTTCGTTTCATAACTTAATATAAGTAATAAGTACATGGCTGACGTAGCATTTAATAATATAAGGGGAAGTGAATGGAAAACTTTCCAACAATCCATATAAACTTCGCAAATTTATGATACAATACTTTCTTATTAAAGTTAAAGGCAGCCTTATGTTTTGAGTGACAAATCCAATTTTATTCTCGACTGCCCCTCTCGGCCCGCGCCCCGCGCCCCGCGGACCGATCAGACCTTATCCAAATTGGATCTTGAATAATAAAGAATCGGGGCGATTGGATTTTATTCCTTAAATTCAATTAGCACACGAGGGTCGTGTGACTCGTGTGTGACTGCAGACGAAAGATAGAGGCACATTATCGTATTAAAAGGGATCGTAAGGGTTTATTTGGTCGGAAAGAAAGTACTTACCCACCTTTAACCCTCCTAAAACTTACGCCGCCCCTTCGCATCTAGGATATTGTCATGTATTAAATTAAATATTACAATTCCTCTATAATATTTTGCATATTAAAACAAGTAATAAATACCATATACCATAGTTGATATCTACTATATACAATAGTCAAAAGTCAGCGACATATAGATATATTTAATCCCATTTACTTTTTATCTTGATTTTTGATAAGTATAAAATTACGAATTATAAAAAGAAAGGACTTTTAATTGCACAATTTTAATGTGCACAAAGTGTAAGCCCTTAAAAATGAAAAATGTTTTTCCATTTATTTATTTCGCAAAGTTGTGCCATATGCGTTTTTTTATACTATTTTGATATAGAACTTTAATCTTTCACACGCAAGTAAATGGACACCTTTCAGCATCCACCGAGCAGTTCTCACAGACGATTAGGCCAGTTTGTTGTTATCATATAATTTTGCATTATCATCTGTCTTACATACGTCGGTGTGTGAAATTCCATTTCTTACAGACGGAAGTAAGAGCTTGAAAAATAGGTTATATATAAATTAACTACCTATATATAAATTGAACCGGCGAAATAAATAAAAGCTTATAAATACCTGTTGAAATAATTAAAAAGCAATATTCGCGTTTATAAATTGTCTGATTAATTATATCGGTGATTTACTAATGAGGCGATATTGAATACGAAATTATGCAAACCATATACGTGTATAATTATAATTATTATGCATTATGCATAACAGTTTCTTATGGCGCAGTTTGACCTGAATAAGTAACACGAATGTCCAATTAACACTCATGAAACATACTTTTAATGAATGATGAGATTTTGAATTTACGTTACTTACATTGACTACTGAAAAAATATAGCGTTCTTTGTGTATATTTTTTAACGAGCATTTGACATCTATTGAATGAATTTACAGGGTACAGAGGAATAACACCTGAGTCCTCAGGAATAGCAACGCATGGGGGTATCATGTGTAAAACAGTATACTCTGTTATATCGATGGTATTGGTCATGTCAATAGGCCACGGTTACCACTTTCTATCAGGTGGGCCGTCAGCTTGTTTGCCATTCTAAGCTACATAAAAAAAATTAGACTTTAAAATTACGATACGTACATACATATGTACGTATTTTTACAGAGTAATGTATGAATATTACCTTATGTATTATCTATTTGATTAATTTGAATTTGAAACTTTTAATTCTCACACAATTCTTTTTATTACTTATCATAATATTTAACACTATTATACGCAAAAATATAAAAAAAAAAAATTGTAAATTTAAATCGTCAGTAGGTACTATGGCCTATTTCGATTATCGCAAGATATCAGTGGCTGACCGATTATAGCTAAATTATAAACATTTCACTTTAGATTAAATTACATATGTTCCATTCATATATAGGTATATTATGCGTAATGCTTTCTATCGTCAATGTTAGCTGGGAATATTCCCAATTGAATCGATTGTTAGGTACTCCCCTGTATTATTTTGCAATTTCATTAAATTTACCCGACTTGCGAATTTAAATGTAAATTTTGGACATTTTGTTTTCAGCATAATAAAACTATCTTACATAATATCGTATATTCGTGTACAAATTTTCATCAAATTCATTCCGCCGTTTATGAGTGTTTCATTGATTAACATCCGAACTTCACGGCTCAATAGTTTTGAACGAAAGGTATAAAGAGAGTAAATCTGCTGGATTAACACACAAGATACTTATTTACGTTTGCAAAATCGTGGTTTACATCTAATATACTAGTGTATATCTAAATACTTAAAAAAGTTTTGAATTTCATATTCTGGTTTTAATTTGTTACGTACAACAAAGAATGATAAAATAATCATGCTTAACCTAATGATCGAATAGATTTCTATTCGAAACCTGTAGAACTCATTTTTGTACAATTTAAGTTAACTTTTCTGCTTTATCATACATCATCATCATCAAGATTGTTAATTGGACCATTAAATGACCTCATTACATTATTACATTAATAACTAGCATTTATCCGCGACTTCGTCCGTGGAACCGAGATATATTTACTGACTGGGATAAAAAGTAGTCTATATCCTTTTTAATCTCACACAATACATGCATACCAAATTTCATAGTGATGGAGGGAAAGGGATTGTTAGTAATGGAGACTAAGAATTCCATCGCTGGCAATATACCCAACCAGGTCAACCTCCTCGCGGTTTCCCCTGAAAACTATCATGATTAACTCCAGATGAATTCATCATGATGGGCTAACTGGCCTGTTTTCATCCTCATCGATCACCCTTCACTGGTTCCCCGCCAGCGTATTCCATTAGCGCAGGCGGGGTTACCATTCCATTTTCACTCAATAAAAAAAAAATTTCATAGTGATTGTTTAAGTCGTTAAGATGCTATAAGGTAATAAGCAAATTCACTTTCACATCAATAATATTACTAAAGATTAGACTTTCTACATCTTTAACAGTATATGAAATCAAAGTCTAAATTATTAATCTAATAAGAGTTTTCCTTATCTTTTTTGTGTAAAGAGATACGTAGTTTCAAAGTAGGTTGTCCGGCTTAAACGTAGTTTTCTGATTTGAAAGTTTAATGAAGTTGTTTATTGTCTTTGTTTTATAATTATCTCTTAGTCATACCAAAACTATTAAATAGACAATTATTTGTTCAGGTTTAATGAACCGTGTACTTTTTCGTAGTTCGTTTCTAAGTTTGTTATTGTGAAAATTTAATGCCGTATTAAATAAACACAACGTCAAAGAAGTATAAAGTATTCTATGATGTTCATTCATTACGCTGTTCATGTTTATAGGTGTAGGTTACTACTGTCATTCAGGTGGATCATTAGTTTGTTTTACAATTTAAGTTTTATATAAAAAATATTTTACTGAAACACCTAGGTTATTAATAGCAGCTCTTATTATTTTTCTAATATCAGCTATGTGAAAATCATTTCATTAAAAACTAGCGACCCGCCCCGGTTTCGCACGGGTGCACATCACATCACATTAGAAACCTCTAAAATTATCAGTGTTCCTCTACTATATTATGCATGTATTGTACATATAAACCTTCCTCTTGAATCACTTTGTTTATTAAAAAATCGCATCAAAATCCGTTGCATAGTTTTAAAGATCTAAGTACATGTAGGGACAGACAGGGAGCTTTGTTTTATATTACGTAGTGATTGCAACAAAGTCGTCTAAAACATCATATTGTAGAATATTCAATTTCCGCTACCGACCATATATATCATGTACAATATGTGTAAGAATACTACACTGTCCCATATAGTGGGAGACTAACTATTATAAATTCTTAATTAAATTAAAAACACATCTTTCCTTATTGGTAATAAATTAAATTTATATATGACAAAATATTTCCATAAACTAAGTACATATGATTAGTCGTAGAGTGAGAAAAATATTTTAAGATTAAATTCCTATTGATAACACTGGATTATGGGTTTGACAGCGACGATTATCTACATAGGTCTGTAATAATCCG